ACTGCATTGTTTAGCTCTTGGTCAATCAAGACTTTCTATCGAAATACGCGTGCGTTGCTAAGGACTAAACTAGGTAGGAAATTAAAGAAACATTTTTTTCTCTTATGGATTAAAATACTTTTAAGTATTAAAAGGTGGAAGGCGGGTGTTATTTTTTAATGTATACGAATTTTAGTAAGTATAAGAAACCGGAACCAGAACGTCTCAAGCCCGTAGCCAGGGGGTTCGGGGGGTTCGGAAGAACCCCCCCCCCACACAAGGCTCAAAGATCCACTTTTTATGTAAAGGTCCAAGATTTTTTTTAAAAAAGATAGTCTTGAATCGTCGAAAAACTGCTCCCTTTGTCATTGAAGAAAAATTTGTCTCTTAGAACGAAACGCCATTTTAGAAGGTTCATTTTTTCAAAATTTTTCGGGGGAGCATACCCCCGGACCCCCTAGGAACCTCGTGCTTACGGCGCTTGAGGTCCCCTCAAGCACTGGGAAGACCACGCCCACCCCCCATTCAAAATCCTGGCTACGGACATGCGTCTCCTTCGATATGGATCCGCCGGGAAAGACGGATGCCTAAGTGTGTGGGTCTCAGATTCGCAACCTCTTATTCACCTTAAACAAGACAAATCCACGCGAAGGCCACCGTGTCAACCCTTACCCAGGTGTAAGAACTAAAATGGTCTCCATTGTCTCTAGACACATAAGGATGCCACCACAACATTCATACTGGACGATTATTTACCTGCGCACAAAGAAACGAAAACTTTTGAAAATGTTTTAACGCCAAGTTAGTGTTGGAAAGAATGAAATGTCCACTTTGTTATTACTACTATATAACTTAAAGCCTCGGTCACAACTCGCCGTGCGTGCTTTTTGTCCGTACGTTTTTGTCGTGGCTACGTCTGCTACGTTTTTTCTGCAAACGTAGGGTGGCCGGCCGAGGGAGTACGTCACTCGCACGGTTGCGCAAGGTGTACGTACGTGGTCTGCACGACACGCCTGGCCGTCAGCGGTTGCGTGCATCGTACGTTGCGCAAGTGGTAAGTGAGTTGTACGTGCTTACAACGCACGATCTCTGTGCGATTGCTACGTTGCCGCGTACAGGCCGTACCTACACGTGCGGCGTACGCACGGTTTCCTTACTCACTCGCACGTTGTAAGTGCGTGCATCTCCTGTTAACTTCATCATCACTAGCCGCCCTGGTGTCTTCCGCGGCCCGTTTCTTTGGGTCTTGTCTGGTAGTCTTCTTCTGAGCCTTCCTGGGCATCTTGGAGACGAGTTGGCAGTCGCCGGTCAAGTCGTCTTTATATACTGTAGAAATCAGGTGCGTTGCACGTGCGTTGCACGTGCGGAGCACCTGGTATGGTGCACGTGTGTTCTGCGTGGTCATTGAGCAGGTCAACTGGGAAGTGAGGAGTAAGCACGGATGACGCAAGCACCGTGCGTGGCACGCACATGCTTCGTGCGCTGTCCGTACAGCAATTGCACGTGAGAATAGTGAAGTTAGACTCACGGAGTCCGTACGTTGCACGCTCATAGGCTGTACGGGGCACGCGCGTCGCACGTACTCGCACGCACGGGTGGTAAATCCGCAGACCGCACGTAGAAAAAGTATTACATGCACTTAAAGTTCTACGGCGTGTCTGCGTGCTCCCAAATCCGTAGGATTCCGTACGGAGGTGGTACTCACCACGCACGGATGCCGTGCGATTGCCCACGTTTTTGCACGTAGACAGCACGCAGAAGCACGTGCGGCGAGTTGTGACCGTCGCTTAACAGTCGTCAAACATTCTGTGGAATGTACTACATGAATTTCTGCAATGTTCACAGCAGTTTTATATTATTTGTATACAATTTCTAGTAGGGATTGGCTGGAATGTCCTACCTGTGAAAAGTATTCTGTACCTGTCCCGATAATTACGCAAGAGAAACATGCCTTTAAGTAAAGGTTACTACGAACCCACCGTCCTTCCCAAAACCAGATCTGCAAACATTAATTAATTGCACTGTCAACACCTCCGATCAAGTCCCTTCGTGTGATGAATTTTTAATGACACGTCGCTTTTCTATCAATCATTTTTGGCCTAACCCTGATATCAATGTCTACCTTATGTTTATGACAATGAATCAGCATATCTATAAAAATATCAGCAACAAAGCAGTGGTCTATATATTTATGTCACTATTTATAATTTGGTTACGGTATCCCTGTGTTGTATGGTTGTGTTTTTGTAGTATGTGCATCTGCATTCGATTTCCTTCGGCAAGCAACAGAATGCTAACACGTGTACCCAATAGGTTATTAATGCCTCAAATGTATTTTTTTAGCGAATACCTACTTGTTTTATTGAAAAGGTTTGTTATTTAAGGTTTGGAGCTTGAGTTAGGGTTAATTCTTGTAAGGCCACGGCAAATGATTTTTATGGATGACATCCGCGCGCGCATTGATTTTCGCCTGATTTTGAAAAAAAAAAACAAGAAATTTTGTTGCCCTTTGACAGTAGTCAACATTCCGAAAATGGACAAAATGACATGCCTTGCCATCCCGGAACGTGGATGGCAGATAAACATGAAGAGAGGAGACAAGACAAGGCTCTGATTTATTGTTTTGACTTTTACTTTGATGCGGTGATGTATTTTATTCCTTTTATACGTTCCCACGGAATCAAAACCATTTGTACAATGATTGAAAACTTTCCCTTTTCAAAATTGTTCAGTGACAAATTGATGTTGTGACAGGTGGCAGTAAAGTTAGCACTATATAACTATCGTTTCTTGTTTAACAGGGCTCATGATGTCAAAATTTCAAAATATAGGAATCTTGTTTTTGGGGGGCCCGTCCTTATTTTTTTTCGCCCTCTCGCATTAGATTTGGAGTCTGCGGAGGATGTCATCCATAAAATTTAGTTACTGTGGCCTAACACTGACAACAAAGCAGGGGATTTGAAAACGATTTTTAGTTTAACTGTCAAGGGGCGGCCTTTTGAATGTCATTCATTGATACTTTTTATGGCTATGGCTTCTGTTTAGATAGAATGTTCACAGGAACGTGTGCATTACTGATTTTGTAAAAATTTACTGTCCCAACTTAATTGATACTACGACGTTTGTGTTGACTCCAAGTCCATAAAATATACCAATCTACGTTATTTCTCTACGAATGTTTACAGCAGGAATGCTTATAAAGAAAGCCATTAGTTGGTCTCACTGTGTCTTCTGATGACCAGTTAGAATACTGTTAAAATGCATGTAGTAGATTTACGTAAGTCTGCAAGGCTTGCTTTGGTTGATGTACTGATGTGTTACCAACCTTGTTAGAGATATGGTAAATAACCGCATCACTGGGGAATAGCCACATATGCCAAATGAAGGCATAACAGATTAAGAACGGTGTGATATGCAGAGGAGGGACGGTGTGCCTGTAGTCATATAGTTTGTTCTTGGCTAACACACATGACAGGGAAGGCTGTTCAAAGAAGAGTGTGTTTTGTGTAATTGTTACCTTCGCCAAGAAGGTTATGTTTTTGTAGGCGTTCGTGTGTCTGGGTGTGAACACGATAACTCAAGAAGGCTAATATGGATTGTCGTAATATTTAGTAAGTAAATAGGTCGTTATAAGACGTCGAACTGATTCGATTTTGGGTTCCCTAGCGGCTTGTTATGGTACAGCAACTGTATTTTTGGTTTTGATATCTCATGGTCTAGACATGCCACGGCAACGAAATTAAAATGGTTGGTAGCTCTTGTGCTGGGGAGGAAGTGTCGTGAGTTTGGCCCCTCTAGTGGCTTGCTCTGGAACTGCAGGGCTATCTGTCAAGATAATAGCATGTTCAGGACAAAAGATACAAAAACCAGAAGTCCTGCTACAGTACCAAGGTCAGCCACCAGGAGGCCCATATTTGACATTGACGTTTGTCTTTCCAAGACTTACCAACATACCAAATATCATCTTAATCCATTTAGGTGTTCTGAAGTTATGCTGACCACAAAGTTGCGGAAACACACACAAACAAACACACACACACACACAGACACACAGACAGACACGCCAACAACAATACCTCCATGTTTCATGGAGGTAATAAGTAGATATCCTGGTCACTGGCAAGTTAACGATTGTTGTACAGAGATGTTCACACGTAACTTAACAATTGTTTCATGTATTATTACAGTCACGAACAAAATGGGAACTAAAGTCTCTAAAACAACGGCTGTACAACCAATAGTTGTTGACCCCCAAACGGTTGTACAGCGAACAGCTGCTGTTCCCCATGCGACTGTACAACCGACAGCTGCTGTTCACCAGGCCTTCGTTCAACCAGTCGCCACGAAAGAGCTGTTCAGTCTGAAGAAACTTGTCGATGATTGTAAGGTGCCTAGGGGTAAGTCACGATTTCCGATTGTCCCATATACCTAAGCAGTTTTTTGTAATGCCTAATACTTAGTGTGGTTTAAAATGGCCAAAAGCACCACCCTCCCATATATTGGAATTTACTATATCAGAATATCGACCTCATCTTTGTATTTTGTGTACATTTACATATGCGTTCCGTATAGCCTCTAGCTTGTTACGAGTACATACATGTATTTGTGTGCAATATGATTATGTAAAGTAAGGGCCGAAGGATCAAGTTAGCATAGCTCCAATCCACCTTTCAGGAGTGAATCAAAGATTACTAAAATTCACTTTATTTCGTATATAAAATCATGCGTGGCCTAAATTTGGCCAAACTTATTTTTAAAAAACAGTGGAACAATATCGGGGAAATGTCATGAATGTGTGACAAGGGCTTCAGGTTGGCTTTGGTATTACTGGACTGATGAGCACTACATTGGGAACCATTGGTACCTAATAATTAACGTCCTGAAAACGTAAGTTATTACCTAGAAATGCGTTAAAGCAATTGAAAACTGCACACAAATGAAAAAATACAAAGAAATCATAATACGTGACTCATACAAAATGAGGATATTAAAAGTGAGAAAGGATCCTAAAATTGTTATAATAGTGATTCATTACTAAATCTCGATTATTCAATGGAGTGTTGTGTTCTACAGAGTTTATGTCAGATGGTGCTGAGGTGTTCTTGACCCACACCGAGGACATGCCTGTGTCTGCTGAGGTCTACTGGTCCGCCTTTCGGGACTTCGTGGAACTGCAGCTGCACATGGAGGGGCACGAGAACCTACGTGTTGTTAAAGGTACTAACTATAGGTCGATGTTGATGTTTTTACAATGTTACTTCACAACGTTAGGGTGAAATATATTTTACTTTTTTTAGTGAACGTATTCTAAAGACAACGATTTATGGATTGTTTCTAGCAATTTCGGTATTGTTAACGCTTTTTATAGTAATATGATGAACTTTATTCCAGCTCTAAGGTAAACAGTGATCAAATTCTCAACGACCACTGTCGCCTTCATCAGGATAATTAATGACCCGTCACGTAATCTCGCGAGAGTTACGGTTACAAACGCGTGACGTTTACGTTTGCGTTCGGGAGTGATTGGTCATTAATTATCCTGATGAAGGCGACAGTGGTCGTTGAAAATTTGATCACCCTGTACCCGTTGTATTGGGATAAAGCTCAACATTTTACTATGATTATTACCAACACACACGTAAGATGATGATAAGTTAACGTTTCTTTATTTCAAGGTGAAATTAAGAAAAATTACTAAATTATAAGAATGTTAAGAACAGTGTATATTTTTTATGGAGACAACATCTAACAAACAAACAAAAATAATCAAACAACTCTATGGATCTCTCCCGCCCATTTCATCTGTAGCCTGGCAGGGTCTGTTGTTCGTAGTAACGAACCAGCTGGTAGACTAGTACAGTGGTTGCCTACTGGGAGACGTAGAGTGGGACGTCCTTATACTACACCTTTGTCCCTGTTAGAGAAAGACACTGCTCTCGCAGGGTCTGCATTAGTGTCTGCTATGATAGATAGGACATACTGGAGTAACTTTATCAACTGTACCTCACCGGATTAGTATAATCCTGAGGCATGATAATGATGATGATGAATTCCCAGGTTATGGGGCGGTGGGCACGGTGGTGTCCTTCTACTACGACCCGGCAGACCTGGCCGAGGGGCAGCGGGAGATGAAGCTGGTGGAGAAGGACGATACCACTCGTACATGGAGGGTCCAGGAGGCGGAGTCAAACGATTTGTACAAGAAATACGAGATGACAATAAAGGTACCAACAGTTGTTATTACGTAGATGTAAGTTAGAAATACAAGTACGAGAAAGATTCACAAAGTAACTCATTATTATTAAAAGATTAACTCAAGCAACAGGAAAAAAAAATCAAAATCTAACCAGTTGCTTGAGTAGAGATTGCATTGTGAGTCAATGCAATGCAGAGCCATTGAAGCTTTGCAAAAAAAAAAAAAAAGATCTCGGAGATTTCATACTTTCCGAGAACGTAAAGTAGGTTGTACCCATATTTTGTGATGTAAGGTTTATTCTATGTCTAGTGGTGACGTGAATATAAGCATGTAGTTTGAGTGCGTCACAACTATGTATCGTATTTTTGCATAGACGTATGCTCTACAAAAAAGGAGGTTGTAGAGCATACGTCAATCATGACCAGGGTGGAATGATTGTAGGTTGAATGGTCAGCTCATGTAATCATAGGCCCCTTGCTGAATGGCATATTGTGTTTAAAATCGATTATTATTTTTAGTCTGACCTACATACTGTTGTGTGACTAGGTCTTCTACTGTTACGTAATAACAAAACTAGCTCAGATTTACCTTATTAATGCAGAAACACTCTTGTAAGCAAACACATCTCACTAAGCTACCCAAGTTATACTTCTCAGTCGGCAGTGATGATAGTATTGCTCCCAGCCTCCTTTTTTTCTAATCAGTGCAGAGTGAACCTGATCTTAACATCGTATAACGATGATCTTCGGTTCAATATGTCACATCAATTCCCCTCGCTTGATTACACATACATACCCTTATGAAATACATTATACATAATACATAATTACATGGTACATTATTGTCAAAAAGTAGAAAATCTCTAGGAGGAATTCAACAAGAATCTGTTTACTGCAGTCTTGAACTTAGTCATGTTAGGACTGTCATGAGAGCCATGCATCATAAATTGTACTTGCCAATGACCAAGCGCTGAAAACTTAGATATGTATTTTCGAGTTGGTTTATAATCATTATCTGGCACAAAACATTACATGGCTGTTAACTTTAAGAAAAAAAAAGAAAACTGTACATCAGCCCTGCCTAAACGAACTACTTGTTTGTATTTTTTAGGTTGAGGGAACCAGCACGGCCAGGGTGACCATATCAGTCCGCTTCGTGTCCGCCATTAAAGACAGGAACAAACGTCGCCAGGATATCGGCTACCACATGGTCAGTAATACTCGGTTCTCTTTCAAATACACTACATGAAACGTGAAACTTACTACCGGTAGCAATAAAAAATCACCAGTAAAGATCTAAACTTTTTATTGAGCGCTATATTTTTGCAATTCCAATTCCAAATACATTTTACGTAAAGCTTTTATGTTTTTGTGTCCATCTGTGTCCATAATATCACCAGGGTCTATAATATCGCCACCTTAAGAAATAATGTGCTTAAAGATATTTTACTGCAACATACCCTATGTATGTACATTTGATGTGCGAAGGAGTGCATACCAAAAGTATGTTGCAGTAAAAAAATATCTTTAAGAACACTTTTTTTTCAATGTCTCGATATTATGGACCCTGGTGATATTATGGACACAGATGTTACATCTAGGAATTGTTTTTTTTAACATCAAACGTCACAAACAATCATCTTCCGACTTACCGTGCATTTTTAGAAGCAGTAATTTCAAATTATTATCGAGTAGCCATAAATAGTTCTAAAATGACCTATTAAGGCTATTATAAGGGAATATAAAACAACACATTGACGACAAAATCTTTATGTTTTTTTATGTTGTTTGTCGCAAGCTTACGACGTTTGATGAATGTAAAAACTCAGAAATTTATCTATTTTTTGTATTGCAACAACAAAATACAGGATAACCAGGCAGCAAGAGCTGATATCGGGCAAAAGATTGAAAAACATACATATATAATGTAACTAAAGGAATACCTACTACATAAAGTTGATAAAATTAGAATAATTTAGGTAAAAAGTTGGTTATAGTTCGTGTGTTTGTGTTGTATTAGGTTCATCTTCTGGGAGCTCGCATCCGGGACATTCTGAACTTCGTTGTCCGTGAAAGGGTCGGAGGAAAACACCGGTTTGAACTGGATGTCGGCTGTTCTCGCGAGAAAATATGGGGCATTGTGGGAAACTGGAATGACGTCACATGGATACGCGAGGCTACGAGTGGGTCTCAATATAATACAATACCAGTAAATGTGATGTTTATGTTAATTAGGCGCAACTCGAAACATGTGACTACACATGATATAAAAGGGGAGTTTGAGGGAAAGAAGCATGCTTTTGAACGGTAAATGCTAACATTTTGACATATCTATACATATATTTCCTTACCAAATTTGCTTATAACCTTGTGCAAGAACACCCTACAATGCCGTATTGTTACTACACTTAATCCGACCCCTGTCAGTCAAAAATCACTTCACCGCAGTTTTCAAATGATGGCGCAATTCTGTATTGTTCATAATTTCAAATTATGGACCAGTTTGACAACGACGTTTGTCCGATTCAAATTGTCTGATTACATTATATATTAAATTGCGTTTAATTATGTTTTTTTTAATTCAAATAATTGTCTAATTATTTCACATGTCAGTGATACCATACCTGGGGTATGAAATAGAATACCATGCAAATGATTAAATACATGATATATACGAGTGCTTCTTTTTTATTAAAGGCACCGTTGTCAAAGGACTCCACCGAACGATCTACTTCACCAAGGACCGTTCTCTGAAGGTCCGTCTGGCCTGGGCTGACTCCAGTGACTACCTGTTCGTGTATGAGGGAGACAACAGTCCGGAATTCCTGCACTGCAAGTACTACAGGGGAAGGGTAAGCAACGCTTCATAACAGGTCACGACTGTCTAAGCCCTGTCACATATGCACATTTCAGAATACTGGCTAAACTGCCCTCCCAAACAATAGTGAGGAGTAAATCTAAGAAAAGGATCCCAGTGCTTAGGGCGTTTTCAGCACTGGGTAACCTTTAAACCTTTGAACCTCTCTGCCGTCATTCTTCCGCGCGTTCAGCACTAGTAACCGAGTGCTGACAGGATTCTGTCACTGGAACACCAGTGCTAAAAGGATTTCAGCACTGGAAACCGAGTGCTGTCAGACAACGTTCAGCACTGGAACACCAGTAGTGAGGGCGCTTCAGCACTGGGAAAAGGCCGTTCAGCACTGGAACACCAGTGATCGGCTCTCGTCGGCACTGGACGTCCAGTGCCGACGCCGTTTTGTCCATTGAATCAGCACTGGAACACCAGTGCGGAAGGCGTGGCTTTCGTAGACTTGCAAAAAGGAGTCGGCTAGTGTTCGTCAAGGTCAGGTAACATCCGTCTGCACATGAAGGGTGTTCTAAAGTTTTTAAAACAGTCGGGTGTTGGTCAGGGAGTTATGGCATGTGTGGCTGGTGTTTCGCATGTCACAAATTCACTCAGATTTGCTTAGATTTGTATATATATATATAGAGAGAGAAAGTTAGAAGTGGCCTACATTTGGCAAGACTGTAGCCCCAAACCGTTCTCTCCAGCAGACCAACTTCATTGGCATGTTATCTCTCTAATTGGCCGATTTGTACTCTTTTCAGCCACTTCCCAAAGCCTGGTAGAGCCTAGCAAGAATGCTCACAAACATTTGCCAACCTAATAGTATGTCGGCTAGTATTCGGCGGCAATACTGTGGGTTGGTCCTAAATTAGTGACTTTATAATTACATAAGAAAGAAAACAGGAAACGGGGTAATATCATTATCGTGTGTGCATTCGATTCATATATTAGGGTACACAACAGCAAAAAAAAATAAAACACTGAGCATATAATCGCATCCATTTTATACAGTTACGTATACTTTATACACATTTCTAATAAAAGTCTGATACAATAAGAAATGTTTAAGCTACTAGAAGATGCGTTTCTGTAAACATGAACTTTTCTTACAGCTGCAGTTCTTCGCCGTGAACCCTAACAAGGTGAAGGTGGTGTACGACTGTTCCTTCCTGCCGGCGAAGGACGCTCCTGTGGAACAGTTCAAGACATGGTTCGTACCAGCTATCGCCAGCAGGATAGAATGGCTCAAGGTAATAATCAATTCAAATATCTTGTTACCTTAGAGATAGTGTTCTCTTTCACTCTCTCACACTATAATTCTATCAATCTCTGTCCCCCTATATCTCTCAGACCCTGTGTGAGAGTGTAATGGGCTATTGTTGGCTTAATTTTTTTTTTCAAACTGAAAAATACATTAACCTTTTCCACATCACATCAACATGCCTTCGTTGCTTTCAAAGGTGTTCGTCGTTTTACATTATCTCTACATCTTCTGTCTTTGATTGATTTAAAAGGAGACTGCTTCATGCAATTTATTAGTGCATCAGCTAGTATAGACGATTTTAGAAAGATTTTCGAACACCTCTTCAAAGTGTTAATTTGTAGACACCGTGGTGAAAGAAAACATTTGTACAAGATTTTGTATTCTACATAGGTTTCCGAATACTATCTTGTCCATACATGTAGAATGCGCTTAGTACATTTTTGAAACACAGTTGGTGTTTAAAGAATCTTAGTAAATCTATTTCCTTTCAGGAAACCTTTGGGGAGCAGAAGGCCAGTCAGAAGGAATCAAACAAAAGTACGAGACCTCCAGTTTTCACGAAGGGCGCGTACGCCTCAGTCGCCCGGGGCATCGTCAGAGGACCTGTGGAGGACGTGTGGAAAGCGTTTAGGCCTTTTGGACGGGTGGGTCAATTTTTTGTCAGATTTTTTTTTCAACTAGGTATAAACTTAAGAGTGTCTGTTAGTGTGTGTAATTGATTCGTTTGTGTTTGCTTCATGTTTGTGTGTGTATGTGTAAGTGTCTTTGTGTGTGTGTGTGTGTGTGTAAGTGTCCTTGTGTGTGTGTGTGTGTGTGTGTCTTTGTGTGTGTGTGTGTGTGTGTAAGTGTTTGTGAGTGTGTGTGTGTGTGTGTGAGTGTGTATGTATTTCATTGTAGCAGAGTGGGTGGTTGAAAAAGTTTCACTACCACAAATGACCTTAAGATCGCTATAAAAGACAATTGTGACTCAACTCGGGCAAGGACTTGTTAAGAACATGTTTCCTGTGCCACTAGGACTGTTGAATGTATGCTAGACAATTTCTTTATTTGTGCTAATGCCTTTACGGGTTTTACTGGGACACTTTTTTTTAAAAAGGCTATAACATAATAAAACGCCAGTATGATGTTTCCCCTTTAATGTAGGAATGTAGGATAAAACGATGTAAATTTTAATGCACAGGACTGCATGGAGTACTGGAAGATCTACGAGAGTATGGAGATCGAGGCTCCCGGAAATGACGTACAAGGCTGCATCCGGCGTTTTGTTACTTCCAAAACGAAGAGTAAAATCAGGGAGAGGCTGGAATGGAGGGACGACAAAACACATGTGGAAGTAAGTTTACCACATCGACATTTGAACTGCAACCACTTTTCTGTTTTTTTTCTTAAACATGAAGGTGTTGTTTTTTGTGTGTCTGTGTTTCAGATTAAATTGTGCTTAGCATAACAAACATGAAAGGTCTTGCCATAACAAGTCATAAAATGGTCAATGGAATTCTGCCAACGAATCGGAATTTTACACATACAACACATTTAATTTGAATATTTTGACTACTAGTATGCGTTACTTGAGTATGTTTACTAGTTATCGAGTAACAATAGTCTTAAAATATTTAGTTAATTGTTATCTTATTATCATAACCAACAGTACAACATCATCTGTAATTTTAATCCTCAATTGCATAACGTAATAAAATTGATACACAACTACAATATATATTGCGAATAACTCCAATGTAGACAGATACCCAGAATATCGAATATAGTAAACACATAACCAAAATCTTTTCGGATTTCTAAAATCTCCTATTCCTTGTTATTTTCTATAGTGGCTTAACTTATCTAGAACTTTTTTTCTATTTTATTACTAAAATCCTGAAATGTCTCCCGTTACTAATAGATCTACAGCCTCCTGAGTATGGACCCTCCACCTCCGGTTGCCATGGACAACGTGTACACAACAATTACTATGACAGAACGTGAGTAAGGGAGGGGGGCTTACTTTTATAAACATAATTAACCACAGCAATGAATTTGCTTCCTATTGTTTTAACTATATCAATGCTAAGTAATGATGATAGAATAAATGAATTTTATTACTTGACAGTTGTACTCGGTGCAATGTATGGTTACACTGGTAAAGCAAACAATGCAACTACATGTATAATAGCATATTCTAAGAATACGCCTATAGGAATATAGCGTATTGACATAATTACCTTTCTGTCTGTTTCAAGCCATTTTCTATTCTGCAAAGCGCTACAAATAGACCGGAATGAGTACGTAGATCTATCTATATAGAGTCATGACATGATTGAATGGAAAATATATGAATATTGTGAAAATTGTCTTGCTGTTATATACAACTTATTTCCTAACCGTTGTTTCAGTTGGAGAGAAAGAGACTGAAGTGAAGTTCGAGTGTACCTTTGACGTCAGCGTGTCGTTTGCGGTGTCCCGTATCCAAGACAACCAGAAGGCGGCCTACACGGCGTGCATCACCGGGCTGCAGCAGCTCTTCCACTCCGAGGTCGGGACGCTAGAGGTCGTTGTTGGGAGCGCCTCTGATCTGGCACGCACTGACGGCTGGTGTAAGTATTTCACGTTTTGATGTTTTTATTTTATTAATAAATTTTTCATTTCTATTGTATGTAATGTAAACCTGCACGCATCATATGGCGACGTTACGAATGAACTTAATATATGGAATTTATAAACGAATTTAGACCTTTATTGTGCATATATACACACATGCACATGGTACCTAACCCACTGGGGTAGGTACATTGTACATGTCGAAACAAAATAATAGTTTTTCTTCAGAAAAACATTGAATAATGTAAAAAAAAAGGACAGACAATGTGGCTGTGAACGAAAAAAGCAATCTATCTTAAAATAGTTGACGTATTTATTTACGCTAGCAATTATAGAACATTACTATAGTCTAAATAAGTCGATTCTGTTTCTTCTAATATTAATAATATACATTATATAATGTACATTATCATATATGTAATATTGCTAAGTCTATTGTAAATAAATACATACCTGAGGGCTAATTGCAAGTACAAACAACTTGTATGAAAAAAGAGAGACTACGTCCAACATAACCAATTACAGAAAATAAAAACATTTCTTGATTACAGGTGACGCTGACCCGTACATTGTCCTCGCGGTGAATGATGGGAAGCCTGTGACGACAAAGGTCTGCCGGGCTACCCAGAATCCTAACTGGGACGAGCGGTTTGAGCTGTCAGTGACTTCCCGCAGCAGGAACGTCATCTTTACAATCATGTAAGATTTACTTTTCATATTACAAAACAGTTTAACTAACGAAGTGACCTCCTATGGCCGAGTGGTAGCTATAGCGGACACTAGATCGCATCAGAATTTCTTCCTGCATAGATCATACAGCAGATATAGAAACGTCTCTTAACCCTTAACAGAACACCTTCCCGGACTGATTAATCTGTACACCTGGGGTCCGCGCGGACCCCAGAGCAGTTTTTCGCTAATTTTTAGAAATTATCAACATGCTACCAGCTCAATTGTTTTGCAAACTGATGTGGGAACCTCTGTGTCCACATTACATACAAAAATCATACATTTTAAACTTTTTCTATTTTTTGGTGAAGAAAAGAAGACAAGAAGAAATACCCGATTTTTAAACCCATTTCAGACTGAAGGGGCTTTTGAGGCCCAACTTTGATCTCAGATAGCGGCTAAACGGCTTGCGCTAGAAGTATCAAATTTGGAGACCTTTCCTAAAATGTCTCTGGAAAAAAGTTCATATTAGTTTAATACTAGTAAGTTGATGTTTTATTTGTGTTGCCATGGCAACGGGTAGTTTTTTGAAAATAGAAGTAATTTTGGTTTAAACATAAACATTTTCTGAGTTTTATATTAAATTACACTTCTTTTCCAACATGAGTAACATCTTACATAATTAAATATAAGTTAAATCATTTAATATGTATAGAATATGCTAATTTGATGACGTCATTGGTCCAAATCCAATATGGCGGACTATATTATTAGCTCTGACGTCATATGACGTCATAATTACACCAAAGTTATTAAAATTTAATTCTATTACTACACCATTCTCTGAAAACTTGGTAGACATACGATGAATGCATAAAAACATATAAAAACGGAAATAAGGTAATGTATAAGAACGCCAGTGTATCCATTATGATCGAAAGCCGGCTGGGGTCCGCGCGGACCCCAAAAGAAAATCAGATTAAATTTTTTTTATAAATGGTAGAAACGGAGTTTTCTGCACTGTATTGATAGACAACTTTGTGGGTGACAATTACCTAAAATTTCAGAAAAAAATCTTTAGAAACAAAAAAGATATTACAGAATATATAGTGCTGGGGTCCGCGCGGACCCCAGGTGTATATTAGGGTTAAAGTGTGAAAAATGAAGTTAAAACTGTATTTCGCCATGACATGCAATGCTTTGTGAGGTAACTTTTGTACCGAGAGGTTACTAATTCAATTCATTGTATTCCCGGCTAGATACTTTGCGCGACTTTCCTCACTTCGCCCAGATGCAAAATGGATACCTGACTTGAAATGCGGGAGATAATTAAAAAAAAGACATGAAAAAAGAGGAATAGGCTCCACCTTTCGAGAATGATAATAATAATAATCTTTATTGTACATTCATGCCCTATCGGGCTAAGTACAGGTTAAGGTTCCGGGTCGGAGTTTAATTCTGACCAAATAGTGCGCAGTAAATCGCCGGATCTGCGAGGTTGTCACGCTAGGTTTGGCTCCCCATAGCTCGGCGATCGCTGTAGATTTTCAACTAGGTTTTGAATCGATCAAAAAGCCTTGGGATTGTAGTGTTTTTCGGCGCGGTGAAGTTGGACGGCCAGCGAAGCGTTTTTGGTATTAGTCCGCGAGCAAGGGTGATGCGGTTTGTCGCCTGATGACCCAAATAACTGCGTTCTATGTGGAATTTTTAGGGGTTCGCGTCACCGGATTTTGCGAAAAACTTATCGCAACAACCTATATTTTTTTTCTGTTTTTCAGAAACAGAAAGTAGTAAGCTATTTCAGCATATAAGCCGTTAGCCTGGGAATATTCGTTTTTTTCCAAGCAGGTCCGTTGAAAAAACTGCAAAAAAAATACATTTTTCGTATCCAAAATTTACGTTTAACTACAGTTTCTACCCAAATTATAGAGTCGACGGACAATAACCAAAATTGTTTCGGAAGCCGGCTGGAAACCTCCGTTGACTGATGTAATGAGATTTCCCGGCGTACTTTTTTTGGCGGAGTAATTATGGCCCTTCGGTCTGAGGGTATCCACCGGATCCAAAATCGTGAAAAAAACTCCGGTCCGAGACCTAAACAGATGAAAAGGTAATATACATGTTTGAAGTACAAACAGCTGTAAAACTACACTAATACAGAGGTTCGGCTTCTTTCGGCTTCTCGTCTCTTTGTGATGTTAAACATGTAATTTGAAATGGGTTTGTTTAATACAGGACGATCAAAGCGCATTTAGAAAGTTTTTTTCTTCAATATTAGTCAAGTATTAGAAGTATAATAAAAAAATCCATAGGACTTACTTTACATTACCTACGGTTTCTACACCGTGGCTGATAGTTAAGTTGTAGAGTGCACGGTCACGTTGTGATACCTATTCTAATTTCGCCTGATTTATCAAAAACTGCACAATGAACAGATAGAGACAAAAGTGTAATCTTTGGGAAGTAAAACGATTTTACAAAGGACAATTAATAGTCTGTAAATTTCCGCCTGTTAAAATGTTTATGTTAAAAAAAATCTCGTTTTAGCTAGAGTACTATTTCCACGATGTAAGCCCCACGATAGACGACAGAACGCCCTGAATGTTCTATTTTCCATCCACAGGGACCGAGACACAGTCGGACAGGACGACATCATGGGGACAGCTAACGTCAACCTGGACGAGCTGACGTCAGGCCAGGAGAAGAAGAAGACTCTGGACGTGCAGCAGGGAGGAGGGACGCTAAACGTCAGGCTGTACCTGAAGATGCACGACAAACCCAAGGAAGCTCAGGAAGGAGGAAAACTTGTGAAACAGATCAGCCTGCCGTTCCTGGCCCCGGTCTTCCAGAGCGAACTGGACGTCATCAGGAACGAGTTCACCAGCCTCATCACGTCGTTCCTTGGACAAGGTACCCAAATATTTACCCAAATCGTCAATTCTATCAGAAGACATCCCTATCAACGCTAGCCGATAGGTTTCCAAGTATCTCAAATACAATATCTGCCTGGACCATTAACTATAATAGAGATGTTGAGGATGGAGCGAAAGGAGTGGATATATAACGATATTCACTCTCTGATGATCATCTCTACCGATGGAATTGATAATTGTGACGGCAGAAACTATGATCAGGATGTCTGCTGTTAGAATCTCCAATGGTACCAGCAGAGATTCCCGTCCGGATCTTTACTAATAGAATCGCCGATTCTACCAGATTGCAATCTATACCCTGACATATACATATATACGTCCCTGCGTCTGTGTACTCATTTCGTCGTAAAACAACTAAGAACTAGAAAGGCCGACATTTGCTTGGGAGCAAATACAGCATATTTCAGTCCATCTCCCTCCCACGCAAAAGTGGACTATTCCAAACTTACCCCAGTGCAAAACTGGCAAAGGTTCTCAAATAAATGAATTAAATAGTAGCTATATGAGAACAAAGATGCAATAACAAGTACTTTGAATCTCGAAAGCTTTACTAATCTTATTACAGGTATGCAAAAACTAACAATGATGAGATTTGATACATTTTGAAGGTCTTAGGCACATAAAATTGAATGTGTGGGTCATTACGCACCACTTAGGTTCAATGTGACCTCAGGTAACCTGCAATGGAACACGTGTTCCATGGATGGAACCGGCCATTCTTTAGATAGAACATGGAACGGGTATAGCACTTTTGGCCCTTTTTTTGCTGAAAATAGCCATTAAAGTCCCCCAAATGAGTCATTTGGAAGTGGTGTATGCCAAATACATGACTGCTATTCTGTATACACACGTTCAAGGTACCCTTGTACCGAATGTCATATCATTTGGTTGTAATACCAGGGCTCAGGATCCAAAAATCCATTTTTTCTCGAAAAATGCCCCAAAAAAACCTTCATAAAAATTTGTCAAGGGCATGTTTCAAAAAAATGAAAAAAACGTCTGGGGGTATTTGCCCACTCTACCTCCATGCCAAATTTCAGGTCATTTGGCTGAATGATGGCGGAGTTGAATCCCTTTGACTGTTTGGCAGGAGGAGGAGAAGGAGGAGAAGGAGAAGGAGAAACATGAGAGAACACAATATATTTCATCCATACCATGGTATGGACTGAAATATAAATATCCACATTACAGCAGAGTTACAATGGTGACAATCAATTTATCCAATTTGTTCATCCCAAAGGCCAGAAGTACGAACTGGAGAAAACCAAACGTCTCCGGAGCCACCCCGATGTTCCACTAGAGGAGATGCCGGCAGCCTGTGTTCCCATGCCCACGGCGGAGATGTTCACTCCGGTTAAAGCAGGGAGACTAATGCAGCGTCTCATGGAGTTTATCGGGTCTCAGGTATTTAACCCTCCCATTGTCACCATGGAACAGTTTTAATGCTTAGTTCCAATATTCCCTGACACTTGTTAGGTTAAATTTACCTTGGTATGAGCTTTTGTCCTTATGCAATCCAAATTAGTTCAGGATCTATTTGATGCTTGCTCTTTTTGCGGCATGTAACGTTCTATGCTTTGTATGACAAGGCATATTAAAGCGACACACTGTACGTCATGCCTATAATTAAGGAAGTAAAAAAAAAACATTACTTGTAACTTCTGACCTGGACGCATTGACTTTGTTTTCCGTTCATTAGTTTCTCTTGTTTTATGTTTATGTTATTCGGTTTCGTTACTCTGTCTAGGACACTGAGAGTGTCTACCACCTATCAGGAAAACATTTATAATACATATATAAAGTTAAACCCATTCTCGTATGAATGTAAGCTGTTAGAGATTAAATTGATTTAAAAAAATCATAGATAATTCTTTTGAAATATTGTTTACTGCACTCTGTAATATAATACATGCCTTCCTCTCATGTAATGTTTGTTTGCAAAAGGAAATACAATATGTACAGTACTGTACGTCTTACTACACAGGCTCAGATTATGGTCCGTCTTGCGGAAGTCAAGGGCATCTGGGACCCGTGGAAGGTCAACTTCAGCGGCTACCTGCCTGCTAACGAGAGGCTGATAGAAGAGTGGCAGAATGACGCAGAGTTCTGCCGGCAGTATCTTCAGGGTTCGTATCACAACATTATTAAGTCTTGTGTTCAGTCTAGCTTGGTTGCAGCAGGTTTTTTTTGGAGATGTTACTTTTCCAGCCGATCTCAAATAGCCAGGCGGTGGGAGTTTTGTGCCTGCCCCAATACATAAGTCATAAACTCCCGCCGTGTAAAACCTACCGATGATTCTAGTTGAGTCAGGCGGCAAAGAGCTCCTGCAGCCCGGAAGACAATCTGCTCTAACCACGATAGAGTGGAGACCAGGCGAAACATTCCTAAAATTTTGCACGTTCCGTGGATTTTTAGAGATATTAATGTTTTTTGACAGTCCCTGAGGATTGCATAATGCTGATACCATTGTGTTACATTTTCTAATCTTACTTCAGTAATACAGTTACAGTGTTAATGGTGCCATGTTATAGATTTAAAATGACATTTCTTATGAATAACCATATCGATATAGGCAACGCTTACCTTCATATACAAATTGAATCGAAATTGCGTTAAATTGGAGTAAAAATTGACTGTCAACTACGCGCCGAAATACTCCCGAACACCAGCCTACCAAGGTCAAACCTCCAGTCCTCACCCACATGTTTAAGATATTTTGAAACATTCTGCTGGCGCAGCCGAACAATAGCCAACCTAACCGATATCCGGCCGACTCAGCCGACCTTGCTCCTGAGCTTTCCTAACCCTGGTTGTAGGGGGGGTCGTCAGTATCAGAGAGGCTATATATAATATGACAAAAGAACCTACTTTTTCTTTCGTATATTGTATTAACTGCAGTGTCTCATCTACAGGCATCAACCCCATGCTGGTGACCGTGTGTAAGGACCAGAGCCGGATCCCAGCAGAAATGCTCGGACTGAAAGGACAAGGCAAGACCACCCTGCAGCTCATGGAAGAGAACAGGCTGTTCATCGTGGACTACGCGCCCATGCTCGGTGTTCCCGCTACTCCGGGCAAATTCTTCTACGCGCCCATCCTGCTCATGTTCAACGAACAGCTCCCAGGCGGAAAGAATCGTCTTAATTTGCTGGGTATACAACTCAACAGAAACAAGGGTATGTTTTATTTTACACACTGGGCATCTACAGGTACATGGCATCTACAGGTACAGTTCCATAAGGCCCATCTACATAATACAATAGTGTTCAGCATGGGATAAGAATGTACCTTTGAAAGCAGTGAGGGAATGTCTAACTAGATGTCAATTGATATATTTTCCTATGTATACTATGCAGAAATAATATTATGTACATGGATGTGCCTTTTAGTCCATTGAGAAACATTTTGGTATTCGATATTTTAGCCTAGCGCGTACTGAACTAGTTATATCAAAATATTTGGTACATACAACCCAAAAAAGTGATGTTCATCTTAAAATAACTCTGGACAAAATGGACAAACCCATGGGTCCATAATATATTTTTTAATCTCCCTATATCAATACAAAATTTGTCACAGCCAATTACGAGTTTTGTGATTGCCCTACTACTGATTAGAACTTTTTAAACAATTCACCTTTTAAACTGTAGGTAGAAATGAGGTGTACTCACCAGAGACAGCCAAGACCCACCCAAACAAGTACATGTTCGCCAAGATGCACGTGATGTCAGCTGACAACAACGTGCACCAGTTCCTGTACCATCTGGGCTACACTCACCTCGCCATGGAGCCCATCGCGGTGTCCCTGCACACCTACCTGCCCCCGGACCACCCCGTCCACCGCCTGCTGCTGCCGCACTTCAAGGACACCATCGGCATCAACTACCTGGCGCGCCACTCGCTCGTCTCCCGCATCTTCCCCATCACCGACCCGATGTTCGCCACGTCCACTATGGGAGGACTCGTCATGTTCATCAACGAGTGGCGCAAGTACAACTTCATGGACATGGCGTAAGTTTTTACCTTTGCCAGCATGTTTTCGGTAGTGTGTGTTTGTGCTTTGTATGCGATTCCCATGATAAATCAAGGAACTTTGGAAGGATTGGACATTGGTATTTTCATATGCACAAAAAGAGATTCTTCTAATCTTGCTTACGTCGCTGTCTATAGGTTTTACCAAATTGTTTTTGCCACTGTAATTGTTCCTAAAACGATTTACAGTACTTTATTTACGTAGTAATGGACAAATACGCTAGTTTCTATGAGTAAGAAAACGCTTGTATTCTATCAATGTAATCAAGATGAGGATAGTAATAATGCACAAATTTATTGCACAGCGATTGTAAAAGGCATAAACTATACATAGCATGCACTGGTAGAAAACTACATTTCCAAAGACAATAATGGAGAAAATGTAATAAAAAATTTAAGGTAATTTTGCAACATTTATAAATTACTGTATTGATTAATAAAGGGTTAATGCACCG